GGCATACAACGTGGCTCGGCACGGCACGGCACGGCACGACACGGCACAGCACGGCACGGCACAGCACGGCACGGCACGGCAGCGATGGAGCCTGGGGGCCGGGCACGGGGCAATAAAGGGGACTATGGCACTGTGGCTCTGTCTCTCCTTTTCCATCGCGTCCCCTGGGGGCTCCAGGCCCAGTGGTGGGGCTGGGCCACTGGGTGGACTGGGGTGCAGGGGGACTCAGGGGGTGCACTGGGATGCAGGGTGGGATAGGGAAGCATGGGGTGCATTTGGGCATAGGGGGTACCTTGGGGTGCGGTGCAAGGGGGCACAGGGTGCGGGCAGTGCACTGAAGCGCAGGGGGCACCAGAGTGCGTCGGGGTGTGTTGCAGGGGGCACTGGAGAGAACTGGGAAGCACTGGGGCATATGGGGGGGGCTGGGGAGACTTGGGGAGCATTGGGGGGAGCACTGGGATGCGCAGGGCTGCACTGAATAGGGGAACTGGGAGCACTGGGGCTACAGAGGAGTAGTCAGATGCATGGGGAGTGTTGGAGGGGGCACTGGGCATCCTGGGGTGCACTGGGGAGAGTTGTAGGGAGCACTGGAATGCTGGGGAGTGTTGTGGAAGACACTGGGATGCACTGGGCTGTGTTGTGGGAGGCACTGGGACACACCGGGCTGTGCTGGAAGGGGCACTGGGGGCTCACTGGGCTGTGCGGTGGGGGCACTGGGGGCACTGGGCTGTGTGATGGGGGCGCTGGAGGCACTGGGACACACCGGGCTGTGCTGGAAGGGGCACTGGGGGCTCACTGGGCTGTGCGGTGGGGGCACTGGGGGCACTGGGAGCACTGGGAGCACTAGGGGCACTGGGCTGTGTGATGGGGGCGCTGGGGGCACTGGGACACACCGGGCTGTGCTGCAGGGGGCACTGGGGGCTCACTGGGCTGTGCGGTGGGGGCACTGTGAGCACTGGGGGCACTGGGAACGCTGGGCTGTGCGGTGGGGGCGTCACCGCCC